CAATAGCCTCTAGCATTAAGCTTATATAAACTATGTCATATTCTGTCAAATAAGCACTTGACACAAATGCATTATACCGCATACTAAAGCTAATTAGCTGCAAATATAGCCATATAGTTGCTTTTGTTAACTTGTGAATGAATCGATTCTGTGATTCTCAGATAAAGTCAAATTTTGTAACTCTTTTTTTGAGGGGCCAGCTGTCTAGGTTGGTCAGTTATGAGGCCAGCGATTTTAAAGTGGCCATTTTGGCAGCTGCTTGTCCCAAGTGGCCACCTGTGTAGTTTAATATTTAGTAGTTGACTGTCCATTTTGTCTATTTAAAGTTGCCACTGGACTGGCCAACTGACCACTAGCCATCTAGCCACCGGCCACTTTGGCTATGACACAATTGGCTGCCTCATCACTACATCCTTCTGGTGCCCCATTTACACAGGTATGGATGGAAGCTATGAACCAGTCTTGCCTTCATCTTTGTCGGTCTTTCGACCACTGCAGCGAGGTCTGGAGCAGGGACAAGCAGACCAGCAAGTGGAGTTACAGATGGCATCCATACCCGGACAGTCTACCGGACCCCAGGAAGGACATGGCCAAGGAATACCATGCACATTCAGATAGGTATACCAGCGGCGGAACCGGGATTGAGGAGGGTCCACCACAGTCACTTTGATCTCTGGTAGAGGTCAGGGGTCGTTGATGGGTCGGAGGTCAAATGGGTAGTGGTGGCAGCAGCACATTTAAGATGGGTAGAAGCACAATGAGGACAAGTAGAAAAATTTGGGATAAAACAAGGCAAAACAAGTTATAAACAATAAACACACAATGGACAAGTACTGGGGGGAGGGGAATCCATTTATAGGGTGCAAAAAACTTATAATAAAACTGCTTCTCTCTGCTAAAAAAAAAATTCTTGAAATATTACATGCTCTGGGTGTTCAACGAAATTTGGTTCATTTATTTACATTGATCCTGAGGCTGTGTTTGAGAAATGGTAACTGTAGTAAGTTGATGGTAGTGACCCCAAAGGACACTTTAAATTTGGAACTGTGATTCTGAGACAGATCTTAGTCAACTCCAGTGGTATTAACATGAGCAGGGAAAGTTCCCCAAAAGTCACGAATTAGCAAAAGTACATGAATATCTTGGTAAGAATAGACATCTTAATTTCTAGTGCAAATTCATGCAGCCATGGTGCAGCAACTAAAGACACCATAAAACATTAAATTGTGATAACGTTTTAGACTGGTTGGAAGTTAATCAATTCAGCAGAAATGAACAGCAGTGAAAAGGTGGCTTTTACCATGATAAATCAAAAGAGTTTCTTGTCATTCTTTGGCATTGCTGTGCTAAGTTCTGTATTTCTGCATGATGTGACAAAGGCCCAAATAAAAAAAAATTGCAGTTGCCTTTTTGGGGATGTGATGAAGAGAAATAGTGAAGAATGTGCTTGATGATGACACATATGAGATTGCTTGACAGTTTGAGAATGGTGGAAAAGCTAGCATTAGTTTAGAAGAGGAAAAATGATGAGCAACATCGATGTGCAAAAGAACTGATTGTTGAGAATAATACCGAATGGTTCCAAGGGAATAAGATTGGGGCAGCAAGAGTGACAACAATAAGGGCAAAGGTCAACCTGGCACAAGACAAATGGAGACAGTTGGTGGAAATGGTAAACAGAATTGCCTTGGGAATGGGCGAGCAGATGGAAGACCACAGACCAGGGTTATAAGGATAGGCACAAATACCAACTACAAGAAGCCAAAAAAAAAAAAAAAAAAACAGCCAAAAAAGAATCCACAACACAGCACACAAGAATAAAGACACAAGACGGTGACAGAAGAAAGGAAATTTGTACAGAGCCCATGGTAAGCTTTTGCAAGAAACACAAAGGAGAAACAACAGAGCTGACGAACAGGATAGATCAAAGAAAGCTGCAGATGCCACTTTGATGTGTTGATGGTAAGGGAGTGATTTTTCAGGAATGCACATTGTGGATTCAAGAAGCTTTAACAGAATAGGCAAACAGGTTTTGACGAGACACCTCTGAACAAGAGGTCACATGAAAGACCAGGAGGGATTAGGTCAGATCTGCCACCTCTTAACATGACCTATGACACAGATCATGACCTATAACCTCTACTATGACTTCAAGCAAGACAGCAGCTTCAAGGCCCCGAATCACCAATGACATTGAAATGAAAATGTTTCAGGCTGTGAAAAGTAACAAGGCTAAGAGCAAGTTTGCACAAAACCACAACTGTTTGAGTGACTCTTTGTCTCGTCAATATAATGGCATTAATAAAAATGAGCTTCGATCAATCACCAGTCGACGGTAGATATTACTGGTTGACCGAAGCCACAGGCATTTCAAAATACATTTAGGAACCAGTTTACTGAGAGTCAGTTTGATTAATGGTTGTTGCTCAAACTTGCTTTTTGAAATGAATAACCACCACCAAATGTCAAAGTGACCACAACTCCAAATGTTTTGATTACTTTTACTCATTTGAATCCATCCATTCAGTCTTACTCAGAATCTTTGACATCCAACCCACTTTCCTTCACTCTCTCACACTGGAATTTCCCATTTCATTCTTCGTCTACAATCATTTTGGAAATATGGTCATCTTGTGATCTACCTTGACCTTTGAACCTACCTGGATCACCATTCTCAACATTGTGATCTCCATTCATTCTTTTGACGTCATTCATGTGAACGGTTGTACTCCCCTCTCTGACAAGTGAAACAAAGAGGAAAAGCAAACAAAAGCACAAACCAAAAAAACAAGTTTTTGAAACAGCCAAGGATAACTTTGTCAGATTCTTGAGCATTTTTCATTGTCAGGAAAGCATCAGCAGAAATAGATTGGATATGATTTGACTTGAAACTCTGCGACCTGACCAAATACTAGCACTAACACTTTGTCCTCCTGTGAATCACATTAGGCCCCACCCCCATTTCATCTCAACTTGATCTTCTTAAATTACTTCCTCTCCCGTTTGTGGTTAGCTACAGAGT